ATAACAGTCTCTGGTGCACTCTAAGATTAAGAGAAAATGGACGACTCAGGAGTGCTGAAGTGAGAGAAAACGGACTCCTATGACGGGGCACTCAAATGAACATACACATAGCTGTATAAAGCAATATTAACCCCTAAATCGGTTAATTCGGACAATCGGCTAAAACGGACACCCTTCCTCCCCTATTAGTCTGTTTTAACGAGGGTCGACTGTAGTGGAACTTACGGTTGATATACACCCTGGAGTTATAAACAATACTTTTATAATAAAACAAGAAACTTCAATTGGGTTTCGTTACTAAAAGCCCAATATACAGTATTACTCCGCTTTACGTATATTTCTCATATACGCGGTGCCTCGCCAGAACGAACTTTCACTTAATGCTGTTCATCTACTCATATACGCGGTGAAGTATAATATTTTTTTTTTATTTAGCTCATAAAATTCATACAAATTACCCGGCCAGAATATAATTTACATTGCTGGAATTCTTACAATATGATCATTTTGAATATAAACATCATAGATTTTGCATTTGACATACAAATTTTAGATATAATATTTACTCTGAGTAGATATGTTATCTTTTGTGCAAAATATATGACATTTATATTCAAAATATTCCTGGTCTTACAAGAAATCCAGCAATGTCAATTATATTATCCTAACTTTAGTTTGAGGTATTATTTATTACTAAAAAGGTAAATATTCTGGTTTTCCCACACATCTGGTAGGGAGGGACCGACCGACCATCTGGCACGGTGTGAAGAATATTTTTTTTTTTTATTAACTAAAGAGATTTGTTTTAGCTCATAAAATTCATACAAATTACCCGGCCAGAATATAATTTACATTGCTGGAATTCTTACAATTTGATGATCATTTTGAATATGAACATCATAGATTTTGCATTAGACATACAAATTGTAGATATACAGTAATGTTTACTCTGAGTAAATATGTTATCTTTTGTGCAAAATATATGACATTTATATTCAAAATATTCCTGGTCTTACAAGGAATCCAGCAATGTCAATTATATTATCCTAACTTTAATCTGAGGTATTATTTAATACTAAATGTTAAAATCTAGGTTTTCACCCAACATTTCTCTTGTAGGGAAGGTTGGTGGGGGATGGGGGGGGGAGGGTTGGGACGGACCGATCATCTGGCGCGGTTGGAAGAGGGGGGGAGGCTAGGTGGGGTACTTTGATTGACAGATAGTGTCGTGAAGAATATTTTCTTTTTTATTTACTGAAGATATTTGTTTTAGCTCATAAAATTCATACAAATTACCCGGCCAGAATATAATTTACATTGCTGGAATTCTTATAATTTGGTGATCATTTTGAATATAAACCTCATAGATTTTGCATTAGACCTACAAATTTTAGATATAATGTTTACTCTGAGTAAATATGTTATCTTTTGTGCAAAATATATGACATTTATATTCAAAATATTCCTGGTCTTACAAGGAATCCAGCAATGTCAATTATATTATCCTAACTTTAGTTTGAGGTATTATTTATTAAAATCTAGTGGTTTTCCCCAAAAATTTCTCAGAGAGGGAAGAGCCCGGAGTGTAGTGTGAGAAGAGGGGGAGGGAGTTGAGTCCATTATTTGAATGGACATTAACTTGGCGACTGTATTTCTCTATTTCTCTTAAGTATTAATTGTGTGCATGTACCATCAAAAAATTAAGATGTTATTTTTACTAGAACATAGGTATTGTGTCGGAAAAAGTAGAGTTTGGGGGTCGGGCCAGTCTCTATTGGAATTAATCCCATATGTTCTGTTGTTCACTTAACGCGGTTTTCACTTAACACGGTACCCTGTGGGTTCAATTGACCGCGTTAAGCAGGGTACAACTGCACAGTCAACCCTCACTTTTCTCAGTCCCACATTCCGCATTTCCACGTTTACGCGGTGCCCTGCCGGAACCCAGGATGCTCACATTCCGCGGTGCGTGTACCCCTTTACGCGGAGAGTGTCCGGCTCGACGCTATTTTTAGATTCGCCCCACCCGCCTGCTCCCGTCTCCTCCCTCCTCCGCAAGCCGCGCGGTAAGGTTGCGCAGTGCATGTCTCTGTTGCGTTATCATTGACTTCATATGACGTATCGGACTGTGATTGGCCATGCATCCCTACCTCCCTCCGCTGATAGCTGTAATTGGTTTTAAGTAATATGATGTGTCCACCCAGGGGAGGGAGGGAGGGAGGGAGGAAAGACGACGCTTGACCTAGCCGCGGCAGTTTCATCCCTCCAGGCCACACAGTGTAATCGTGCATCCATTGTTCTGTAAAATGGCTTCCGCCGGACCACCGCCCCCAGAGAGAAACCTTTCCTTGCCTGGACCCAGCCGCCCTAAGCCCAAGAAGACACGACGTTCCTTAAGCTACGAGGTGAAGTACAAGATCATCCAAGAGTTACAGAAAGGAACAAGACAGGTTGATTTGGCGCGCCAGCATGGTGTGAACGAATCTACGATCCGGACGATAAAGAAGGATGCAGCCAAGATAAAGGAGCACATGAAGATCACAAAGTCTACAGGTGCTTCTATGATCAAGTATTTTCACAACCAGGTGCTTCTCAAGACAGAAAAATTACTTGTGAGCTACTTGGTGCGTCAGGCGCGACGGAACATGGTGGTCGACACGTGCTCTGTTAAGGAGTACGCACGTGAACTGTATGCTGCAGTGTCATGAAAGATGGGAATTACAGAGGTTTAAGATGCAGAACAAGATCACCAATATAAACATTGGTGGTGAAGAAGCTAGTGCTGACCGTGCTGCGGCTAGGGAATTTCCTCCGTTTTTACGTGAGATTATGGAGGAAGGACAGTACACCGACGACCAGGTGTTTAACATGGTCGAATCTGGTCTTTTTTGGAAAAAGCTACCTTCCAAGACCTTCGTTGTGAAGAATGCCAGCAAGATTCGGGGCCGGAAGTTGCAGAAGGAGCGCATCACCGTCCTGTTTACCACCAATGCCTCCGGTACCTGTAAGCTCAAGTTATCGGTGATCCACACAGCCCGCAAGCCGCACGCCTTCAAGAGCATGGACATGACCAAGCTAAATGTCCACTGGCTGACCGCACGTAAGGCGTGGATGTTCTCTACACTCTCCCTCTCCTGGTTTGATGACTGTTTTGTTCCTGATGTAAAGAAATTCTGTGAGCAACAGAATGTGCTATTCAAGATTTTGTTGCTGCTGGACAACGCACCAGGACACTCGCCCCTACTGTTAGATCGTCACCCCAACGTAAAAGTGGTCTTCCTTCCTCCCAACACTACGTCTATATTACAGCCCATGGACCAAGAATTAATCTGTAATGTAAAAGCTGCATTCTCAACAAAAAAATTCCAGCTCCTGAACGACTACACCAACACCAGGGAAGAGTTGCATAACCTGAGTGACACCACCACCGATAGCAAGAGCGAAGACGACGAGGATCAACAGTTGGCAGAGCAAAAAATACTTTTCAAACAATTCTGGAGAATATTCAACATCAAGAAAGCTCTGGACTTCTTGGTGGAGGCATGGGATCAGCTGTCTGTAGCAACTGTTTGTCACGCATGGAGACATGTGTTGCAAGGCATTCCGGGCGTATGGCAGAGTCAATCTGTGACTGGTGAGGTTCAGACTGTTGGAGTAGCAGTGAACCTTGCCAGAGAAGCTGCGCAGAGTGTTACAGCTGCAGGCTTCTCCGAGACCACCAACGACGACATCCTGGAGGTGATAAGGGATCCTGATGTGACTACCGACGAGATGGTAGATGATGATGACGTCAGTGAAGAGGCAGGTGGTGCGTCATCCCAAGAAGAACACCGCTTATCCCATAGTAATGTTAGGGGTGCCATCGAGTGTGTTGAGAAAATCGAGCTCCTCCTTCCCGACGACCCTGACGCAAACAGGTATGAAATCTTCCCTACCCAGCTGTTGCAGACTATGGAGCCCTACTTCAAGGTTTATCACGACAACATAAACACCAGCCGTCAGCAAAGCATAACAGAGTTCTTCGCCCGCAACCCACCACAGCCAGCCCAAGCCAGTGATAGTGACAGAGGTAGAGACAGTGAAGATGACTTTGAGGGATTTGTCAGGGAGGCCCTGACAAGTGTGGATGACAGTGATGGTGACTCACCTGAGGGCCAGTAGCCTGCCCTCTGCCTCGGAACCAGCCTCCATCCCTGTATGCCAACCCATCTCTTCTACCAACGTAAGTGTTCAACCTAACTTTTAGTTTTCCTAACCTATCCTTTATTTTTCCTAACTTAACCTTTATTTTTCCTAAACTAACCTCTCCTATATTAATTGTTTGTGCATACCATCATAAAGTTAAGATAAAATTTTTACTACGACATAGTTGTGAGTCGTCAAAAAGTGGAGTTTGGGGGTCGGCCTGGTCTCTATTTCAATTAATCCCATATGTTATGTTGTTCACTTTACGCGTTTCTCACTTTCCGCGGTACCCTGTGGGTTATATTAACCGCGTAAAGTGAGGGTTGACTGTATATTATATGTGTACCAACCTGGTTAACTGGGGAATTGACCAGCGTAACATGTAGGTGGCAGCTCGTGTGGGTACGAAAACGACATATCAGTCTACGCACCAAGACATCAGTGTTTTGTGAAAACAAGAAAACAAAAAACAGTGACGTGTTACATAATCCTAGTGTTAAAACTGTATCCCGTATCGAGACGATAATTAGTGAGTGCTCCTCATCTCTGTCACCCAGAAGAGGTGCAGAATTATTATTATATCATACAGCCTGTTTGGTGAAAATCCTGTTAGTAACAAGTAAAAAAGCCCCAAGTCAGCATAGTGTTGTCTACAGTGTTGCAGATGGTTTCATAAACTTTACTAACAAGTGACATTTCACAAGTAGCTGGACGGTTGTGTGGTTTCGCGAGCGTCGATTGCAGTATATCCGGTGTCATCAGACAGTTCTCCATAAGTTTGGTACACGGCAGAAGCAGGAACCTTTCCGTCATAGGTCAGCAACATTGGTTCAACTCTGGAGGTATTCCCCAATCGTGAAGTGTACTCACCCGCTGTCGGGATAGCAGCGTGTCATTCTCATTGCCAGGGAAACCAGCCGGAGGCACTTTCATTCAAGGACGAGTGAAGAGGCCCCGCCTACTCTACCACTACAGATACCAGCTGGACGGATCACGTTTTCTATACAGACGCAGTAACCCCTGTATTAGGTATCTCAAAAGTATACATAGTTTATACACACATTAACACGTTTGAGATATAACTTCACAACGATAGGCTCAACGGATAGGAGTATGTCATTGAAATAAGTGTCTTACGTATATTCGTGTGTACTGACGTTATATAATTTACAGTGGCTATTTATTGTCTGTTCACTTATTGATAGTTTAATTATTTTAACTACAATTTTTATCATTTCTTGTAAATGAGAGGCAAGTATTTTGCTTTTGCCGTTAATTATTATCTGGCTCAAATGGAACTTCTTGGATAAATTTTCAAAGTTTCCAATGTCTCAATCTGATGACCTTGTAAGCCTAGCACAACTATCAGCTGATAACGTACACTTAGAGGATCCAAGTTACGTTTCTACTGCAGAGGTTGACTTTGAACTTAAGCCAGAAACACAGTTAGACGATTCGGTAGAAAGTAGTGAAAAATTAATTGAGGAATCATTTGGCGACTTAAACTGTCTTATTTTACGATCTGGAAATCAATATAGTACCTCGCCTAGGGATACACAGGTAGTTTCTAACCCTGTTCCAGGTGACAGTGTGTCAGTTGATTCATCAGTAACACCCCCATTAACTCAGCCTTCAGTTAGGAGTTAAAGTACTAGCTTACTAATTTCTAACGCTACAATGGCTTCCTCTAACACTCTCCCCAATACTGCTACCATGTCAACTAAATCTGATAATGTAGTTCATATAATGCAGCATGGCGACTACGTGTGTAATTTTACGGGCCAGAATGATTTTCGGGTAGTGCATTTTATTCGTGCACGTGAAGACACCATGCGCACCGCTAAAATTACAAGTGATGAAGAGAAAAAAGCATTTGTTCGTTCCCATATTACGCAGGGATCATATGCCGGAAATTATTTAAATGCTTATGGCTTAACAAACCTTAGCTATGAGACATTCAAGCGCACACTTATTGGAATATTTGGGGGCAGAACCCAGTTGGGCCAATTACAATGGATCTTCAGGTGGTTGGATCGTTGTACGCCAGTGATTCACGCTGAAACACCAGTGGTGGCAGTGGATATTGCAGGAGAGGTTCGCCAGGATATGGAAGCGACCTTCAGAAATTCGGGTTGGTTCGACCAGGATAATAAAATGTCAGAGACCAATATGGATACGTTGATAGAATTAATTAGCTTCCTGTTAGTTGTTCGTCGTCTCTTATACAGCCGGGCACAGGAGGTTCAGTTTGTACCACCTATAGATATGGTTGATTACGCAAACAGACTCTGTCCCACGGCTACGGGCCCTTTGATGACGCAGCCCTCCATGACTACGGCGCAACCCCAGATGGCACAGATGATACCACCCCAAATTCCTCATACTTCACCAATGGCTCCGATTGCACCTCAACACCGGACATACAAACAACGTAGTTCTTTACGATGTGCTCATTGTAATAAAAGAGGCCATGTAATTGAAGACTGTTTCCAGCTCCAAGGTAATGGTGTAAAATTAAAGGACACATCCGGTGCCAAGCAGCTCACTAGGTCATACACGGAGGCAGTTAAGGCAACACTTCCATCTACCCAGAAGGCACGCAAGTGGTGTGCACTACACAAGTCAGCAAGTCATAACACACAAGAGTGCGGCTTAGTAATGAAGGTTAGGAATGTAGATTTTGATGAAACAAATGTGGCGCACAAGCGTAAACAGAATCGCTCCCAAGACAAGTCGTCGGGGGAAGACCAGCGCCCGCCACAACAAAGAGAGGGATAGGTACATTGTTTCTTGCTTCTCCCCACAACACTTCTATAGCGGCATCGTTAGTAGCGGCGCTAAGCAAAGTGGAAGTGTTGTCAGTGCCGGTGAGGGTTGATAGTACAAGATTGGCTCTTGATATTGATATGGGTGCTTGTGCGAATGTTTTGGCCTTGACATCCTATCAGGAGTTACAACGTAAATTCCCTCACTGCGACTTCAAATGGAGGCCTACTGACGCTGAACTCAAAGAAGTATCGGGCACTCAGTTGAGCATTAACGGAATTTTGACGTTACCACTAAGATTCTCAAGACATGGTTCTTCCTTCCACGTGGACTTTTATGTAGTTCAGCAGTTTAATTTGCCAACTGACGGGTTACTTGGTCTCCCAACCCTTAGAACGAACATGATAGATGTTCATCCACGTAATAATACTATTATGTTTAAAGATGTTTCCTACAACGCTATGCGTCATTCTGAATCTATGCTCACCGCTAGGTCGAAAGTGTTGTCCACCAATCCCACTAAGAGGAAGGCGGAAAATGTGTCAGAGCTACCTCATGACCTCACACCTTCACTTTCCCAGCGTGATTATAGCAGCAATAGTTGGAAGATCGTACCTGCAGTTTTGAAGAGTACTCTCCATTACCAGAATTAGGAATTCACCAAAGCAACTGTCGAATTACCCGACGTGTACACGGGCACTGATGTTGTATGTCTCCCTGTAACGTGCAAGGTAAAAGGGTTGTCGTGCGAGTCAACGTTGAGCACTATACGCCCTGGCGGTTTGACAGACGTACTAGTTCTGAATAGAACAGGCGTTCAACGGATATTAAAGAAAGGATGTTATTTGTGTGATTGTCTAGTATATCACAACAATGTACGGCCTACAACATTCCCAATTGGTAGTATTGCTACGCAATCCCAACAGACTCGGCAGGAGAGGAAAGATCAAATAGCGCCACATGTTAAGGTGATCGATCATCCTCAGGGCAAGACACGCCTTTTAGAGCTGCTTGCTGACTATAGAAATATTGTAGCCTTGCCAGGGAAAAAGCTAGGTCAGACAAATTTAACATCCCATCATATAGCATTAAAGGAGGGAACAAATCCTATCTATGTACCAGCTTACAGACTACCTAATAGCTAGCGCGCTGTAGTTCAAGATATGGTGCAGGATATGTTGGATGAGAATGTTAGTAAACATTCTAAGTCCCCTTTTAATAGCCCCTCGTCCCCAAAAAGGATGGTGGATGGCGCCCTGTTATGGATTTCAGGCGCGTTAATGAAAAAACGATCCCAGATAGGTACCCTATGCCTCTCTTGAGTGACATATTGCAATCCTTAGGTAAGGATAATGCTGTATTTAGCAACTTAGATTTGCTTAGTGGGTATTGGCAGATACCACTCGATGAAAAATCACGAGAGGTCACGGCGTTTAGCACGCAACTGGGCCACTTTGAGTTCCTCCTGATGCCATTTGGTCTCAGCAATGCCCCACTAACGTTTGCCGGATTCATTGGTACCACAGTCTGCGCTTATTAGGATGATCTAATAGATGTCAGTAAGGACGTTGATTCCCATCTGATTAAACTGCGTGAAGTGTTGGAAAAACTTTCTACAGCAGGTCTTAAGATTAAACTTTCAAAATGTGAGTTTTTAAAATCCAGAATCCATTTCCTTGGTCATGTAGTTGACGGTGAGGGCATACATACAGTAGATGATAAAGTCAACGCTATATCTCAGTTCCCACGTCCTACCTCAGTTGATCATGTGCGTAGTTTTCTTGGCTTATCTGGATATTATCGTTCTTTTATCAAGAACTATGCAACATTAGCATCGCCCCTAACAAGGTTGCTCAAGAAAGATGTAATGTTTATATGGGATACTGAACACGAAAATAGTTTTGCGGCATTGAAGATAGCGCTTACCAATGCCCCTGTTCTAGCCTTCCCTGACTACACTCAACCTTTCACTCTCTGTACTGACGCTTCTGGACTTGGAATCGGAGCCGTGCTCATGCAAGACGATACGCGTAGAAAGTTTAGAGTGATAGCTTTTGCAAGTCGTAAGCTTATTAATGCTGAAACACGTTATTCGGTAACGCATTTAGAAACATTAGCCGTTGTGTGGGCACTGAAGAAATTTAAAGACATTTTCTTTGGATATAAGATGACTGTTTTTATGGATCATGCGGCAGTAGGTGAGCTGTTCCATGGCAGAAACTTATCAGGCAGATTAGCACGCTGGTATCTGACAATTCAGGAATTTGACCCCGAGTTCAGGTATTTATCGAGAAGGGCGAATGTTGTCGCCGACGCTTTGTCAAGAAATATAGCACCAGTAATGCCTGTATCAACCTTCACTCTTTCGCAACTGGAAGATGAGCAACGACGCGACCCATTATGGTCAGCAGTCATTTTTGCTCTCGAATTGGGAGAGGATGTTAAACTCCCCAAATTAATTCTTCCCTTAAGTCAGTTTGAATTACGACATAACATACTCCATAGGTCGAAAAAGATGCTAGAGGGTAATGTTTCTCAAATAGTCGTACCTGACACGTTGTGTGAAACGATTATAACATTGTTCCATGATGTCCCACAGGCAGGTCACCAGGGTCGTGACAAATGCTTAGCGGAATTAAGAAAGAAGTATTTCTGGAACACAATGAAGAAAGGCATAGAATTACACATTGCTAAATGTTTGGCATGTGCTCAACATAAAGGTTCTACAGGATCACCGGCCCCGATTCTACAATATCCTACACCACACCGTCCGTTTGACACAGTTGTTATTGACTTGTTACAACTCCCGAGGAGTCATCAGGGATCAGCGTATGTCAGTGTGTGTGGATCATTTTTCTAGATTCGTGGTCTTGGTCCCACTAAAAGATAAAACGGCCGATTCTGTGGCCTATGCATTAATTATGATTCTTATATGTCCATATACTATGCCTAAAGTTCTGCTCTCTGACAATGGGACAGAATCAAGAATCAGCTAGTAGCGCAAATATGTGTGCAATATGGAATTAAGCAAAGTTTTGTGACAGCTTATCATCCACAGGCTAATGGCCTTGTTGAGAGAACCAATCGCAAGATCCTAAAGATACTGCACCCGATTGTGTGTGATTTGCAATACACATGGGAAGATTGATTACTACAGGTTGCAGCGTCTATTAATGGGTCG